AGAGAAGTTGTGGATGCCCCCTCTCTGGAGGTGTTCAAGGCCAGGTTGGATGGAGCCTTGAGTAGCCTGATCTAGTTGAGAGGCGTCACTGCCCATGACAGGGAGGATGGGTTTGATGATCCAACCTCCATAGGTTGGATAGGTCCCTTCCAGCCTATGCCATTCTATGATCTACCTGGACTTGTGCAAGTATTTTGACACTGTCCCACACAACCTCCTTGTCTCTAGAATTGGAGAGACATTGATTTGATGGATGGCCCACTTGGTGGATAAGGGATTGGCTGGATAGTTGCACTCATGTATGGTCAATGGCTCAATGTTGAAGTGGAGGCCAGTGAGGAGTGATGTTCCTCGAGGGTCAGTACTAGGGTCAGTGCTGTTTAACATCTTTGTTGGCGACATGGACAGTGGGATCAAGCGCACCCTCAGCAAGTTTCCAGAAGACACCAAGCTGTTTGGTGTTGCGGACACGCTGGAGGGAAGGGATGCCATCCAGAGGGACCTTGACGGGCTGGAGAGGTGGGCTTGTGAGAACCTCATGAAGTTCAACAAGGCCAAGGCAAGGTCCTGCACATGGGTTGGGGCAATCCCAAGCACAGATACAGGCTGGGCAGAGAATGGGTTGAGAGCAGCCCTGAGGAAAAGGACTTGGGAGTGCTGGTGGATGAGAAGCTCAACATGAGCTGGCAATGTGCACTGTCAGCCCAGAAAGCCAACCGTATCCTGGGCTGCATCCAAAGAATTGTGGCCAGCAGGTCAAGGGAGGTGATTCTGCCCCTCTACTCTGCTCTCGTGAGACCCCACCTAGACTACTGCATTCAGTTCTAGATGCCCCAAAACAAGAAGGACATGGAACTGTTGGAGTGGGAGGGCCACGAAGATGATCAGAGGGCTGGAGCACCTCTGCTATGAAGACAGGCTGAGAGCTGGGGCTGTTCAGCCTGGAGAAGAGAAGGCTCCGGGGTGATCTTATTGCAGCCTTTCAGTACTTAAAGGGGGCCTACAGGAAAGCTGGAGAGGGACTTTTTACAAGGGCATGTAGTGATAGGACAAGAGGTAATGGCTTTAATCTGAAAGAGGGGAGATTTAGATTAGATCTAAGGAAGAAATTTTTTTCTTGGAGGGTGGTGAGGCAGTGGACCAGGTTGCCCAGAGAAGTTGTGGATGCCCCATCCCTGGAAGTGTTCAAGGCTGTGTTGGATGGGGCTTTGAGCAATCTGATCGAGTGGCAGATGTCCCTGCCCATGGCAGGGGTGTTGGAACTAGATGATCTTTGAGGTCCCTTCCAACCCAAAGCATTCTATGATTATTTTTGTCAGGTTTGTTTGTTTGCTTTAGAAAAAAAAAAGATCAATTTTGTAAAGTAGACTTGTGTCCTTGTATTTATTTTAAGTCAATCCCTCAAAATGCTTCTCAGAGTCTGTTTGTGTGGAGTTTTCTTCCTAAAACTGAAAAATGAAAGCATGCTAAAAGGCTGTAATAGGCATCCATCAGCTGCTTTACACAGTGCACTGAATGCTTCAGTGAACATGACGACAGCATGCCATTGCTTTTGAAAAAGGATTTGTGTTTTCCTCACAAACCAGTCATAACTGAAAACTTCTTTTCTGGAAGTTTGCGATCTCAACTGGAAAAACAAGCAAGACACTGAATGATCCAATTGATGAAATTGCCAGTTAGTCATGGGGAGCTCCAGCCATCTCTTGGCATGAAGCTGTCATCTCAGCAAAGAAGTTACTTCTCAAACAAACCAGTATAAGAGAGTTTTTTGTTTGCATCAGGTAACATCATAGGAGACATCAGCATGATCAGGGCTGTTCTCCAAAGCCCTTTTGTCATCATGTTGTAAGGCAGATGAGAGTTCAGTCCTAGACAATAATCAGTCCTGTATTTTTATATTTGGCATTGTTCAGGAATGTGGACCGCTATCTTGAACTGTGGTGACGGCAGATTTAGACACTCTCTATTCCATGTCTGTCTGCATTCCTCAGCACTTCTCAGATTCTCTTGAAGAAGGTTGGTTACTCTTTCCATTCACACCAAAGCAATAGTTCAATGTATAAAGGACTCCTGATGAAAACTAAAGGAAGGACTAACTTAATAGTGCCTTGATGGCGGAAGAAGAAAGTGAACATGAAGATCGAATGTCTGTGTCATGGTTGTGAATGAATCAAAAGAGGAAAACTTGGAGCTTCTTTTCTTCCATGGCAGAGAGGAAATGCGTGTGGCAAGGAGAAATATCTCGTGGAAATTTGTAAAGGTGCTGCATGGAAATCTATGCAGTTGCTATGCTTTTAGAAGTGGAGTATGTTTCTTTCTTCACTTCAACATTTATTATAGAAGTTAACTTCCCAAGTCCCCAGCTAGTTGCTATCCAGATGTAAGTGTCTACACACAAGTCTACGTGGGTCAATGACCCATGATGGCAGCGCTGGAGTATTTCATCTCTCTGTATTCAAAATCTTCTATTCCTGTTTAGTTTTCTGAATCCTGTTTTAGTGTATGGAACACTCAGTATGAAACCAATGAAGCAGAAACCATAAAGCCTTTCATGGATACACCACGGGTCTGCAAGGACAGGGTTGTGCTATCCTTGATGATAACTTCTGTGTAGAGTTCTCTGCTTGCACCACTGAAACATACGGTGTGGAGCCTTGGAGAATGTGGATCTGCAGTGACCTAGTTGACTGCTCACTTGGAACCTGCACTTGAATGTTTGGCTTAGTTTGGCTGATCCCTTGTTAAGCCTGAATTTCACCCAGGCTTCTGGAGCCAGACTTCAATGGTGATGTTTAATCACAAGGTAGCTTTGCTAAAACCTAGCTAAATAAATGATGCTTGAAAGGCGGGGGGAGTGAAGAATGCTAAATCTGCTTGTGCTTGTTCTGATGTTCCCTGATCTTGCCAAAATTGCATGAAAGCCACCAATTCACAACCACATTTCTTTTCACAGCAAAGGAATGTTGAAGCTGGCAACAAAATTCAAAGTGACAAAGGATTTCCCCAAAACAGCCTCCTCCTTTCATGCTTTTTGACTATTACAGTTACTCATAACCTAATAATCCTTTTTTGCATTAGGTAGTTGGGATTTTTATTGTTTATTGAAACCATCTGATAATGCATTCCCCGTCACCCTGCCCCCTCTCTACACTTGGAAGAAATCAGCTGATGAGTTTATATGTATTTTATTTTTATGTATATAAAGCTATATAAAGAGGTGTCTCAGTGGTACTAGGGAAGAGATTTGACTCGATACAAATCAAAAGGGAAGTCTCTTTTTTCATATTAGCATGCACCTACATATGTCTGAAGACGTTAACAGAACCTGCTTATAGTTACTTACATGATGTGTTGTATTTATATGTGCCTGCTGGATACTCTCCCATGTATTTGAAATTCCCTTTCTCAAGGAGTTCATAAAGATGCTCTTGTATGCTTCAAGAACCTACAGAAAACTGGTAGAACTGCAGCAGATATCTTAAAACTACCTTACTGTGGCAAAAAGACATGCACTCCAGTTACATAAAGTTAGGTACTTACTTAAGTGCAAGAAATTGTAACTTACGCTTAAATAAGCTTATTCTGTAAGAAATATTCCATCGTAGAAAATCACACTGCGTTGGATTTTCGACATACAGTAGTTGCAATTTTATTGACAAGAGATCCAGTTTCCTTTATTCTCCCAGATAACTTCCTGGTAGAAAATCACTTGTGTATGAAAGCTGGTAGAAAGACAACCGAGATGTTAGCCCTGATCAAAAAGCCAAGCACTGGAAAGGCTTTTCTTCTGGACATTGTCTATTACTATCATTTGATGTCTCGTTAACCATACATGTCTTGAAACCATGCTTAAATATATTGAATAAAAATGCCTATTTTTGTTCACTCCTACTTTTTGCATTGACATTTATATAGTATCTAACGTGTTAGTTGTACCTAGAGTTTTGTAAAGGCCATCAGTTGAATTTCTGTTGTGGACTGTCACTTGTGTTGTAGTAGTCAACAACAAACTCATGAATTTGAATTTTCTAAGTATGAATTCTCCTTGGTGGATAAGACTGTTGTAGATTGACGCATACTCAAATCTGAAAAGTAACTTTAAAGGACACTTCCTCTGTCACTGCTGTTTGAGACCCTAACATTGGATTATGGCACATCATAAAATGTGGGTAGGGTAAAGTTTAAGTACTTTAAAAAGTAGTCATAATTGATCAGTAAAATGTCCTTTTTGATATGTCTGAATTTATTGCAAGGTCAAAACTCAAATGACTTGTTGAATATCCCTCTCCCTTATTTAAGGCATTTGTAAGCGAAGAAAGTATGTTCAAAATACTGAAACATATTTACACGTTCTCAGTATGGTGGAGAACTACTCTGCTTTCCTTCCTGAGGGCTGTGGTTCAAAGACTAAAACAAGGCAGGGAAAAAAGCTTAAGCTCTATGCATGACGCAGAAAGTCTCTGCTGCCTTGGCTAATGTGTGGCTTAATTATCCTGTGAATTCCTGCAGATGCCCACTGATGTAGGCAAGTTTGACAAATGGACTTTAAAGATTTCCCTAAGAAGAGAAGTGGGTTTCAAATCTTTTTTTTATGCTCAAAAAGGCACATTTCATAAACAAGGTCAAATGTTCTTGCGGCTTTAGTTTGCTCATGAGTAACCTAATGTAGTAATTATTTAATGAAAGAGTATTTCTTCCTTATTTCAGGTTGCTAGTATTGGAATCTACAGCTCCTTCGGGAGACATGTCCCGCCCACACCACATTGCATCAGTTGTTCCAAACCGGTATCCCCGCTGGTTCACCCTAAGTCACATTGAATCCCAGCAGTGTGAGCTGGCATCGACCATGCTAACAGCAGCCAAAGGTACGTTGCTGTCAGTTATGTACTCAACTGAATGTATGATTTTAATATTGCATGGAGTAAACAGATTATAAAACTGGTGTTTAGAAATCCAAATTGCTGTCTGACAGTAGCTTGAAATGAGTACAACAAACTGAACTGGCTTAAACCTGTCACTTAATTTTCTAGAAAAGTAGTTAAGCTAGCTAGATGATGACCAGATGAGCTTGATTTGAGGCCAACGAGACGGCTTTTTGTTCTTCTGACACCCAATGCAGCCTCTAAAATTCACAAATCAGGATGACTTTTAGCCATCTATGGCACTAATACCATCAGACACTAGAGGAGTTTGTGCTGTCCTGTATCTTTCATTCCTATGTGATTTAATTAATGAAAGTTTCTATAAACAAAGCGAGTATAACTGAAATATTGTGCTATTGCATAGCAATGGCAGGCTCAATTATAATGCATCTCTGGATGTTTTGGGAGCTCATTCCGTTTCGGTGATTCTGTTTTCACCTTGCAGGTGATGTTCGGAGGCTGGAAACAGTGTTAGAATCGATCCAGAAGAATATCCACTCGTCATCACACATCTTCAAACTTGCCCAGGATGCATTTAAAATAGCAACACTCATGGACAGCTTGCCAGACATCACTCTTTTGAAAGTTTCTCTGGAGCTGGGCCTTCAGGTATTTCCCTCATTCGTTATTATTGCAGTAGAGGAAAGCAATTTGACCCATTTTTGGTAGGTGTAACTCTTTGAGCACTGAGGACCGTACTGTCTTTGGGATCTGTGTGGAGTTTTTAGATTCTGTTTTCTGATACAAAGCACAATTGACTGGTAAGCACAGACCAAGAGTCTGTGCAGCCCCTTTGTGCCATTCAGGTGGAAAAGAGAGCTGGGAGCAACTGGCTGCAAGGCACTCCTTTGTTCAGGATTGAGAGAGGACCAATGCAGTCGTTTCAGGAGTATATGTAGAACTGGCTAGAAAGCAAAACTACTCTGCCAGAAATGCACTGTATTTTCTGCATGATCTTCAAGGATTTCTTACAATTCCTTGCCTTCTTTTCCCCAGAATGATATTTGGTAGGTGCTTGTTGAATTACTAGAGAAAGCCAAGGTCAACCGTAATGACCTGTTTCTAAGGCAGACTGTGCTAACAGCAGCCCTCTCACGTCCTTTGTCAAAATCCTGCACTCCACAAGCTGCTGGATGGTTGGATGCATGAGGCTTAGCTTGAGGTGTACAAAAACCACTGAGTTTTCAGGCTCTTAGGAGAGACTTTGCAAGCTAAAAGTAGACAGCTATGGTTTATGTATCTGGAGTAATATTGCCTTACACTGATGAATCTTGGAGTTTACACAGTCATTTCAACAAAAATAAATCTCTTCATCCGTCTTCAGGGAGTTCTTCAAAAAAAACATGCAGAGATCAGAAAACCATTTATTACTTTGCTTCAGTAAACAAAGCTCCAAAGACTTCTGGGGAAAGGATATTATCCCAGTTGCTACTCATGCCAAAGAAAGGTACTATTTGCCTGTTCTAGACGTTTAGAAGTGAAAGTCTTTAATCAGAAAGCTGAGATTCTATATGCGTTGTTAGCCTTTCAGATTCTCAGGGTTGCTGTGAGTTTTTTTTCACATCTCGGTATGTTTCTGCCTTAAATGTTTGTTTACTTGAGAGAGAGAAAGATCCTTATGATTGACCTGTGTGTCACCTCAAGCATTCACCAAGTATCATTCAGCTGTAGTAGCACACTTTGAGTATCACTGTATTCATGGATACCTCTGTGTGGTTGATGGTGTCATCAGAATGACTTCAGTGAGGTCTAGTGAAATAAATATCATGAACCCGTATTTTCTCCTCGGTCCCAGGGCTTAGAGCAAACTGATGTAGAATTTGTCCACTGCTCTTTCCCAAGGTTACGAAGATATTTTAAGAATAAGTTAAAGATAGTTTGCTTTCCAGAAGGAAAACTGCATAGTGGTTTTCTGGTAGTAACTCACAGCTGTGTAGATTTCTGCGGTAATGCTTTTCCTGCAAAAACCATAGTGTCAACACTGTCTCTAGTGGCCTACAGATGCTTCCTCCTTTCCTGCTCTCCCAACTTAATGGCAATTAGATTGTTTGTACTCACTGTCTAGTATTTGACTACTTAACGACATTTGGGCTGAGGAGACGATACCAACAATTGCACAGCTCTGTCACTGGGATCTCTGTGACAGGAAAACCTCTTACATTGTTCTAAATTTGGCAGTAATGTGTGGACTCCTGGGTCCATAGGTCCAATGTCAACGTGCATTATGTGACTCAGCAGAGGGAAGGCTTTTAAACTGCCTGTGGAAAGAAGTCATCAGCAGAGCCAAATGGGCATGGCGCAGTTCGGGCATGTTCTGTGCTTCAGAACCTTTCTGGCACAGATGTTATAAGGTCTGCAAGTACAGGAGGGGCTTCTGTTCCTCTGTCTGTTGTATGCTACATCAGTGCAAGTAAGTATTGCTGGACATGTGCAGGCGGGTACTGCTGGCAGAATTGCTGAGCAAGTTAGTGCAGGTGACCACTTGGTGCGTATTTGGCAAGTGTGTCCTTTCTCTCCAAACCTGTAAATGAATGAATAAATAAACCTCCTTCCAATGTGCATGAGGAAGAGGTTTCACATTGGTGCAGAAGCTAATGATTGGTTGACTATTTCTTGTATCTCGTATGGATGATGAGATCTTCTGTTCCTCTAGGCTAAAAGATTCTTGAAAAGATCCATCAAGACAAAGTCAGGGTTATTCTGTGTGGATGAGAGCTTGGCTTTCAGATAAGCTTTGTAATTCCCAGGAGCCTCTTGTCATTTTCAGACTTACTGACTTGTTAAGAAGCTCTGTTCAATTCATAGCACACATCTTGGATAGATCTTGGGCAGATGCGGAACTCCCTGTAAGGAAGAGGTAGCTCAAGAATATATTGAGCAGAAGTGAAATAGTTCTTTGGCTACAGGTGCTACAGTATAAATTAACTTCAGCTGCTCATGGTCCGGACAGCAATACATGCTTTATTTGAAATCCTTAGAGTTTTTATCATCAGTAAAGGGCCCCTCTCTTCCTGCTTGCAGCTTGTCAGTTTAATCAAATGAAGGAAACCTAATGCCAGAATAGTTCATCAAGAAACTTTTCAGTGTCAAGAAACTAGATACAGTATTGCTTTTTGTTCTTGAGTTAGGACTGTCTACATTGGAGCTGCTATTATGCCCGCTACACATGCTGAAGGCTTTTGTGACTGCTGACCTTTTTACAGACCGCTACAGTGAGGGAAGTCATCAGAGAAGACTTTCAGAGAAGTCATCATTCACACCATTTGGTTTTGTTGGGGTTTTTTTCCCTCCTTCCCTCCCTCACCAGTAGCAGAATTCAATCCGTAACCCTGTATTTTCTCTTGGATTCATTCTACTTAGGGGAAGCTGAAAATTCGTCATGGATATTGGAAGAGTGTTAACCTTCAATTAGCATGTGCACCTATATAGGAAGTCACCTAGACTCCTTCTCTTTGATGAATAGAATGGGGCAGATAATTGCACTCCAAAGAATTTTGAGTTGGGGCTGCCTATTTTTCTTCTGGAAAGACTTCCTGTAACTTCAGGCGATGTACAACCAATCACCACCTTGAGGTGTGAATGTTGCTTATAACCACACTTCCTAAAGATCATCTATGCATTTGTGCTCCTCAGTAATCTTTCCATCTTCTCAATTATCCTATCTGCAGTGTAGGACTAAAGGAGGTGGCAGTAGTAACAAATATGACAGAAGGCTACGTACAACTTTGAAGTCACCTTAGGACTTGGGGGCCATATAGGTTGAGAAACCTTTTACACATGCTGCTGACTCCAAGCTGTTTTGTGAGTTTATTTGTTGAGTTTAATATGTAAAGATTGTGTCCAAGAGCTCTATTATGGTCTTCCTTTAATTGCTACAAATAGTAATACTACAGTATGATCACTGGTATTGCAAGGGGAAAACTACTTGCTTTCTTCATCTACATATCTGTGGGGTCTGTCCAGGCAGCTGAAGCAAACTTTACGTGCAATTTCCGTGCAGTGTTTGTTTTACTGAATAAACATATTTGCCTGTGTTTTGAGAAACAACATAGGCAGTAACAAATGGTGTAAAATATGGGTGCTACAATCAAAGCTTGATATCCTTTTTCTGGGATTCTGATGGTTTAGGATGGAACTTCATTGTAGAGACTCCTTGTTCAGAGAGAGAAATCATCACTGTGGACTTCTTATAATGCCTGGATATATCTGGAATTATATATATATCTTTGCAGAATAAGCAGCCAATCAAATCACAGTACACTAACGCCTATCTGTATTGTTGAAATAAACAAAAAGAAATGCAGGTGAGGGAAAAATTAAAGGGATTAGTCTGCCCAACAAGAGTTGACATATTTCCACTATGAAGACTGCTGTATGTGGAGGGAGGAGACATGATATGATATAGTATAATTTGAATAATTGATAATTGGGTTTGCATTTTTTGTTGTTTTGGGGGGCTTTTTTGTGTGGTTTTTTTTTCTTCCCCACGGATAAAACAATCTCTCCTCTAGCCTTGGAAGGATCTGCAGTGGGAATTAATCTCTGCATGCTACTCTAAGATACCTGAGTAATATTTTTCAAATCTTTTGACATATCATCTAAAAAAGAGGTAACAGAATGGAGAGGGCAAGAGGATGCCATTTTGAACCTCAGTGGATATGAGCAACTTAAAATTCCTACTGTTTGTATCTTGCCTTGGTTTGCAATCGAATTAATTTGTATTGTGCTTGTGCTGTTTTAATAGGTGATGCGGATGACACTGTCAACACTGAATTGGCGACGGCGGGAAATGGTGAGGTGGTTGGTAACATGTGCAACAGAAGTAGGTATGTTCTGAGATACTTCTCTTGTCAGCTAATCTCAGAGCGCTCCATCTTGCTTGTCAACACCCAAATATTCTGTTAATCTATAAAATTGCTTTGGTGAGAAGACATTATGGCAATCACAAGTCTTTTTTTTTTTTTTAGGCACAGGCCAAGTGAGACAATAGTTGAGTAATGTGTGGTGACTTCTTTCCCACACAAGTCAGGGAGGGGTGTGCATAACCTCATGGGAAATGCCCCAGATTTCCCCTCGTCTCCTCCCTGATGGGTTTGAGGCTGCAACAGAGACAAGGCTTGTGGTTATGGGCTGTCGCGCTGTGCTACAGCTTTGCTTGCTCTGAAAGGCGGGGAGAGAGCTCTCTGGTCAGCTGTGGGAAGAACCAGGGAACAGGTGAATGAAGTGCGGCAGGTGCCTCCGACTGTGTGGCAGACAGGATCTCATGAAGTGGTTCTCATTGTTAAGTTTTTTTTAAGCCCCAGGGTAAATCCAAGCTTAGAGTGTAGTGCATCTTTGTTATGTGGCTATAACATTGTGCAGGCCTCTCGTCTGCACTGGAAAGCAAACCAAATACCAGTAGACCCATCGTTGACCACGTAAGGTGAAAATAAAGATGGAAGCAGAACCAGCATTATGCTGTAGAGGACAGCAGTGGGAGAATAGTGCACACAGCAGGATGTTCTGTTCATTTCTGGGCTTTGCCACAGATTTCCTGGGTGTCTTGATGAGGCATCCCTTAGTAGTTCTGTATTCCAGCTTACCATCTGCAAGGTGAAGATACAGAGTCTGAAAGTGAAGATGAGGCCGTTAAAAACTGTGTAGCTGTAAAAATAAATAAAAAATTAAAATAAATAAATAAATAAAACCCTGAACAACAAAACCAAAAAACACCCCAGCAGCTGTGGTAGTAGGGACATTATAAGTACTTAAAATAAGGGAGCAGTGTTAATTGTCACAAAAGGTATTTCTGGAAACCGTGTTTCCCTGCTGTGTTTATTCCTTTTTTATACATCTGAGTTGAATTGTACTGCATAGATGCTTCTCGAGTTTCAGAACTTCAGAGGATTGCTGCTGCTTATTCTCTGTTTTATGCTTAACTGGGAAATTAATCTTGTCAGTATCATGGGAAAATACAGCTTGCCTTAGTATGCTCTCAGCCAGAAAGCGGTTTGCATCTGCAAATTTTCATGCAATGTTCTTGTTTTATTGCTTTTATATCTTTGCTAAGATAATTATTACTGAGGCTATCTTACAGATATTAGTGCCTGGGTATTATTTTGTGCAGTTGCATATTGGCAAATAAAATGCTGGTTTTAATACTGCTTTAAATTAGTTTACATATTCTAATAGAAGTATCCCATAAAGAACCTATAAGGTCATGCAAAGTACTCTTGGGACTTAATCAAATTGGTAAAGCAAGGAATCTGTTTATTTAAATGAAGATCTAGTATTGTCTGGCTATGCTGAATTTTTGCACATGAGTGAAGGGGTGTATGGAAAGCATGCGAGTCCTACTGAGAAAATGAGGACCTCTGGGTGTGGTTGAGATGGGCTCTCAGATGTGTGTAAACTGCCTTTAGCAACAGTAAGGCACTCTAGTTGGCTATAAGGTTCAATTTATGGAACCCATTAGTCACTGTTTTCCCCTTCCTCCCCCTGCCAGACACACACACAAACACACACATACCAGGAATAAAGTGATATTGAGGAAAATACCTGTTTCATGTAATATCCAATAGCTGATATTGCTCAGAGTATTTCCTTAATAAGGATCTTGATGTTCAAGTGCATATGAATTTGATACAAGATGAAAAAGCCTGTTGGGAGGAGGTGGGGGTTAGGATTTTTTCTTCTTTTTTTAAGACGTGCTTACTATTAAATGCCATGGTGGTGTATTAACAAAGACATTTAGAATACTTTCATATTCTTTTGTGCGTATGCTGTGCCTTGAGATACACAGTAAGAAAAGAAGTTAAAAATGCCTTTTGAAAGTGTTCAATGTGAGGGCTGCTTTTGAGTCATATGATGGGACCAAATGAGCCAGAACTTGTTATCCAAATTGTCTTAAATAACAAGTAAAACAGCTCAGTTGTCACACCAGGAGATGAAAGCTTATCTTGCAGGCTTTTTTTGTTATTCTCTGCATTTAAGTGATTGCCCAGAGTTTGCGTACTGGCCTTTGTTTCAATGTCCTTTTCCAACCATGCTGTCTGGTTTAGCCCTTCTTGCTGAAGCTCACCGCAATCTCTTAGACGTGGCTGCAAGTGTAATCTCTGGCAGATACAGATGTTCAGCAAGGTTTTACTGGTTGTGGCTAATCCTTTCTTTCTCTCCGCAGGTGTTTATGCACTGGATAGTATCATGCAAAACTGGTTTACACTTTTCACTCCAACAGAAGCCACTAGTATTGTTGCTACCACAGTGATGTCCAACAGCACCATAGTCCGTCTGCATCTGGACTGCCATCAGCAGGAGAAGTTGGCCGGCAGTGCTAGGACGCTTGCTCTACAGTGTGCCATGAAGGATCCTCAAAACTGTGCCCTCTCTGCACTGACCTTGTGTGAAAAGGATCACATAGCTTTTGAGACCGCTTACCAAATCGTTCTAGATGCTGCTGCAACCGGCATGAGCTACTCGCAGCTTTTTACTATAGCACGATACATGGAGCACCGTGGTTACCCCATGCGGGCCTACAAGCTGGCCACTTTGGCCATGACGCATCTCAACCTGAGTTACAATCAGGACACACACCCTGCCATTAATGACGTTCTGTGGGCATGTGCGCTCAGCCACTCCCTTGGGAAAAATGAGCTAGCAGCTATAATACCTCTGGTGGTCAAAAGTGTCAAATGTGCAACAGTACTGTCAGACATTCTGCGTAGGTGTACTTTGACCACTCCTGGCATGGTGGGACTTCATGGAAGGAGGAACTCTGGTAAGCTCATGTCACTGGACAAAGCCCCTTTACGGCAACTCTTGGATGCCACGATCGGAGCCTACATTAATACAACTCATTCACGTCTCACTCACATCAGCCCGCGACACTATAGTGAGTTTATCGAGTTCCTCAGCAAGGCCCGAGAGACCTTCTTAATGGCTCATGATGGTCACATCCAGTTTACACAGTTTATTGACAACCTTAAACAAATCTACAAAGGCAAAAAGAAACTGATGATGCTGGTTCGTGAGCGGTTTGGTTGATGAAAATGTGTGAATGGGGGGGGGTTGGGGGGTGGGAGGGGTGGTTTGTTTTTACTTGAGCCTGCCTTTGTATCCTTTTTAACTTAAAGAAACAGAGCCACACCGGTATTATATGTGTATAGTTATATTGAGTTTGAAAACTAAACTGTCATGTTGTGAAAGTTTGTGTGTTTAATTTTTATTTTTTTTTCTTTTTTCTGTTTTGTATGAGAGAGAGGTTAAAAAAGGTTTGGTTTACACTGAGTATATGTTGTCAAGTGGCAAAAGCCCACATCGCTCTCCTGTTCTTTCTGTATAACGTTCACAGCCTCAAAAACAAACATATATTGCAATGGCTTTAAAAACCAAACAAAACACCTCCATCCTGTGATAAGTACCTCGAATGGATTCAGCTTTACTCCTTTGTAACTCATCCTTACATTTCAGCGTATTTAAACGAACCAACAAATGAAATACTAATAGTTAAAAGGCTGACCACGTGGCTTTGCAGTGCTGTTCATCCAGAAGCATGGCACACAATGCTTGTGCATGTGGAAACTTAGCGACTGTCAACATACATTCTCAGGGATTTATCAAAAAAATTAAAAAAAGAATGAGAGCATTTATTGTACTGTATATATATTATAGTATATGTCTGAATATTGAAAAATATAACATTAACTAATTTATAAAAAAAAAATCTATGTAATGCAAAATACTTGAAGCTGCAGTAGCTTGGTTTTAAACAAAAAAGAAAACCTATCAGAAGGACTAAAGTGCGCCTTGCTTCAGGGTTGGCTCAGGTGGTGAACTATATGCTGGGCATCTATGCAGAGCCACCTTTTGGATTGCATGGTTGGACTGATACCTATTGGGGAAAATTTTATATATATATATTTATACAACCTGTGTATACATATATATGTATACACACATTCACACATGCTTGTAACAGGCACTATAGTAAAGAGGGACAACAAAAAATACACAGCCAGAGCAGCAAGCCTTAGCATTAAGAATACAGTATGCCAGAATTGGGGTTTGTGCCTCCTAGCCTAGAAGACTTAAAGAAATATCCTTTTTGACACAAAACGCAAAGTGTTTTTCCAAAATGATTGACGTGATACATTACGCCTTTGCAGTGAGCTAATAATAAGCTAACCTTTGTGCACAAATAACATATATATATATTATATATATATATTCTGCATAGGTATTTTGACTTTGTGCAGGACAGAAAGTTGTGTAGGTATGACTGTTCTACTTTTCAGTTTGTTTTTTTAATATATTTTATTTTCTCTAGAATTACTCAAACAAAAGCAGCCTTCTATCTTGCCTTGTCTTAATGCTTTAAAATAACCAAACTGGAGATCTAACTACCAAACTGTTCATTATATTATTAAATACCAACTTTGGTTACAGTATAGTGTCTTTACTTTAGCTGATGGTTCTGTATCCTTGTGCTTTTTAAAGCAGTTTTTATGTTTTGGTGCAAAAGTTGTCCAGTGTCTCTTGTTCCCTTCATTAGAGAACATGCTAGAGGTATGTTTGTAGGTATTTTTGTTTAGAAAAACTATTTCATGCTCTCCATTTTATTTATTATAATAGGTAAAAAGGTTGTACTTCATCACCCATGTAAACATGCTCATGAAGTTGAAAGTAATTAAGATTTGATACACTGATATCAATTTATTTATGTAACTAAATCACTGTTTTATAAACTTGTTAATGATCAACAATTTTTTTTTTTTGATTAAAATTAGTTTTTTGAAAGTTGATTCTGCCTCCTTTATGGTGTCTGTTACTGGAGTTGAACTGTGTACTGATAGCCCATAGATCTTAAATGCGCATCTTGCGACTTTGATGCATTGTGGTGGTGAGCAGTATGACCACCAAGTCCAGGAAAGAAATTAGTTCTTTCTCAAAAATCTGCTGAGGATTGGCAGTGTTCACAGTCACTGATAGAAGAAGACCTGGTGCATCAGAGGAGAGACCAAATGCTGCCTGTGATAGAAGATACGTGATCTGTACAACAAACAGTAAGCCTTGCCCTATTGCCCTGGTGGGATGGGAGAGCGTGTGGGGGTATGTTCCTACTCAGTGGAGTATTTGGGTAACGATGAGGGTTGAGATGTGCTGTGAATATATACAAGGACAGTCCTTGCTGGTCTTGGATTGGCTTTTGTAAAGTATTTTGTGTATTTTGAGCCATGCAGCTCACTTCACTCAGCCTGGAGTTCTTGCTCACCAGCTGACAGCCAACATTTCTGCTTTTTTGGAGCCCTTGCTCTGTAGGAGTTGTGTGAGTTTTCCAGCCCTCAGTGAAGAATGAGATACAGCATGGTTGAAAATTGAAGAGGAGCTTTCTGCTTTAACAGCATCTTTATCATCTTAGGAATGTTGCATGATGTCATATTTGGCTACATAATCTGAATGCTTTCACTTTTTTTTTAGCATCTTCATCTGAAAACAGAATTAGCGTGCGGCAAGCAACTCTCAGTGATGCCAGTGCATCCACGAATTCTGGCAGTGAGGTCTGTGTCACTGGGAGATAAAGGAGCAAAAGGTCTGAATCTTTGTACAACTTGTTGTGCAGAATGCGAGTCTTTGTCAAGCCTTGCTAACAGCCAAGTTGTCCTGACCTAGTAGTACTGATCTTCTGTAGCTTCTGCGACTTCTGTCCCTTCCAAGTGTTGAATCCTCGTTACATTCTTGCTTCATTACTTTGTCCTAGATTAATTTTCTGCTGCAGACAGTAAGGAACAAGAGGGATAATCTGTTCTGTAACAGAGTTTGCATGGTTTGGGGTTTTTTTGGCCGCTTACAAATAATTAAGGGTGTTGTGGATTACGTAGATTGCAAAATAGGCGTGTTTGAAGACGAGGCTTTAGAATTAAATGCAGTCCTGATGGTTGTCACCTGCTTTTGACAAGCATGATGGCTTATTCTTTCAGAACTGATGGAAGTTCATTTAGCTTATTTTCACTGCTGAGTAAAATCTCTTCTGTCACCACAGTGGTGCTGTGCAGTGCAGTTCACACCATGTTAAAAGCCCTCAAGGACCAACAGAGGCTTGGCTAATCTCTCCGGCAAACGTGTCTAGGTATGTACTGCTCTTGTTTTGTGGAGATAGGAAGAACCCAGGAGTGGGATTCTGAAAAAAAAAAAACAAACACATGAAGGCTCTTTTGGTGAAAACTGGTCAAATATTTCATAGATTTCATAGATTTCTTAGATTTCTAGGTTGGAAAAGACCTTAGAGATCATCCAGTCAACCGTCCCTAATCCCCATTAAACCATATCCCTAAGTAGATCATCCACCCTTTTCTTAAACACATCCAGGGATGGGGACTCAACCACCTCCCTGGGCAGCCTATTCCAGTGGCTGACAACCCTTTCAGAGAAGAAATGCTTCCTAACATCCAACCTGAATCTCCCCTGACTAAGCTTATACCCATGTCCTCTTGTTCTATCACCCATCACTAATGTAAAGAGCCCTTCCCCCACCTCCCCACCATCTTTTCTCAAGTATTTGTAGGCTGTAATCAGGTCTCCCCTCAGCCTCCTCTTCTCCAGGCTAAACAGCCCCAACTCCCTCAGCCGCTCCTCATGAGTTTGGGTTTTTTTCTATAACTTTTAAACTACATAGTGCAATTGATTCTGAAGCAGAAGAAAGCTTGGTCAAAATACGACGTCTCAACTTATCTTCTTTTCAGAGCCAGATATTTGAGATAAACAAATGAACAGCACTGCTATCATTGTCTCCAAGTGTTTGATGCTTTTCAACACTCGTTTAAGAGAGGACTTTTTAAAAATCCAGGATTGCTATTCAGGAGTGAAGGGAACTAAGCATGATTCTTCCATATCATAGGCTACTGTTGAGTCTTCATTCTTCTGAGTTGAGTGAAATCCTGAAAGATGTGATATTTTTTCTGTATTATGGGACTGTCTTACAGCCCAAGAAACTGACTATTACCCGTAAGTTTGTTTTCAAATTTCCTTTATTGATTTTGCTAGAAAAGAAGCCAGAGAGATTTTCCTTACCCATATTACATTACATTCATTTAGTTTTTAAGCGTTTCAACGCTTACTTTGAAGTATTGCTTCGCTGGTGCTATTTAACATCTTTGTCGGCGACATGGACAGTGGGATCGACTGCACCCTCAGCAAGTTTGCTGATGACACCAGGCTGTGTGGTGGTGTGGACACGCTGGAGGGAAAGGATGCCATTCAGAGTGACCTTGACAGGCTGGAGAGATGGGCCTATGAGAACCTCATGAAGTTCAACAAGACCAAGTGCAAGGTCCTGCACATGGGTCGGAGCAATCCCATGCACAAGTACAGGCTGGGCGGAGAATGGATTGAGAGCAGCCCTGAGAAAAAGGACTTGAGAGTGCTGGTGGATGAGAAGCTCAACATGAGCTGGCAATGTGCACTGTCAGCCCAGAAAGCCAACCCTGTTCTGGGCTGTATCAAAAGGAACGTGGCCAGCAGGTCGAGGGAAGTGATTCTGCCCCTCTACTCTGCTCTCTTGAGACCCCACCTGGAATACTGTGTTCAGCTGTGGAGTCCCCAAAACAAGAAGGACATGGAACTACTAGAACGAGTCCGGAGAAGGGCCACAAAGATGATCCGAGGGCTGGAGCACCTCTGCTATGAAGACAGGCTGAGAGAGTTGGGGCTGTTCAGCCTGGAGAAGAGAAGGCTCCGGGGTGATTTTATAGCAGCTTTCCGGTACTTAAAGGGGGCCTACAGGAAAGCTGGAGAGGGACTTTTTACAAGGGCATGTAGTGATAGGACAAGGGGCAATGGATTTAAACTAAAAGAGGGGAGATTTCGATTAGATCTAAGGAAGAAATTTTTTTCTTGGAGGGTGGTGAGGCACTGGACCAGGTTTCCCAGAGAAGTTGTGGATGCCCCATCCCTGGAAGTGTTCAAGGCCAGGTTGGATGAGGCTTTGGTGTCGTGGAGGATTTCTCTGCCCATGGCAGGGGTGTTGGAACTAGATGATCTTTAAGGTCCCTTCCAACCCTAACCATTCTATGATTTTCACATCCAGTTTTCCTAATAGAGAAAACTGCAGAACTTTTCAGCATGAAAAATAGAAAGAAAGGCACATGTGGTAGACTCAGACTTCAAGGTGCAACTGAATTCCAGGACTGCTTTTCTCAGAGTACATCATGTCTTATTCTCAAAATCTTTTGGTTTTAATGCTATGGTTGTGGAGCTAAACCTGGATTGCCATGTACATGACAAGGAATTTATTACATTGTTTGAGAGAAATTGCTGATAATATTCTGAGGCTAGAGCTGCATCAAGAAGACCAGGACTGTATTTCATCATGGTTGTCTAGTAGAACAGATGGAGGTCTTTCAAGTGCATCTGCTAATAGGTGCAATCAGTGCTTTAGATGACCAATCAATAGTTCTTGCAGTCCGCGTGAAATTTTGCAGGGCTTTTTTTTTTTTTTTTACTGTCAAAAAGTAAAATTTGCTTCCTAGTATTTTTAAGGATAGAAGATACTCTGAGTGCCTTGCATTAGTACATTTCTCTTCTATAGAAAATCCGTACTCCGTTATTTTCTTTGTATATTCATACAAGGTTTCCTGCTACAAGCTTTCCAAAGTCTCTGTGAAAGTCACTTTTCAATAATACTTTAGTGTTCTGTCAAATTAGGTTAAGCTACAATTTTCTTTCAGGTTTGTCTAGTAGCAACTGTTTTTCATATAAGTTGGTGTAAGTAACGTGAAGTGCATGAAAACTGGGGTGATGGTTCCATGGAGGGGAAATTTGTTTTCTGAGTTGTGCCAATTTAGATTTGTAGTTCCATAGAGTGGATTTGCAATAGAAGTAAATTTATTTTGATGAGATACCTTCAATTTGATTAAAATATGGTTTTTACTGAAAAATCATCCAGCCTTCCATTTCTTCTTTAAAAACAAAAGTCCGGGTAGTTAATCTATTTTTAATGCAGGATATAATTTGGAAGAATAGCAATATAGCTGATACCTTTACAGAACTGGGAAGTACAATACCCTCAGGTGTTCTCTTGCTCTGCAGTTCTGGCTAGAGATGAAGTGTTCATAGACAAACATTTTCCATCCTTTTAAGTGCTTGTCCCCTTGAAAGTGTACCATTTGCAAGAAGTGGGGAAGCAAGGAGCACAAACCACAAAGTGTTACGTCCAACTCTTCCCTTGTGACAATGCAGTGGGTATTAGAGATTTAGAGGTATTGCAGCGTAGTACAAACTACACTGAATATGAGATGCAAAGCTTTGTAATGTTCTTAATTGGAGAGAAAAAAAAAAAAAGTGTCAGGGATAGCTTTACTCAAGAGAAAAAGTCGCTGGGATTTGCCTCCCCTGTAGAAGTGTATGGTCCATACCACATACGAGAAGACGAGTCTTACCTCTTTTAACACCCTGGGCTGTTGGTATCAAGTAGCACCTAGCCGTCAGCTGAAATGTTTGTGATCCATCCTTACAGGTAGTATCAGTATCCCTGAACTTAGTAAAAGTAGAGCTTTGTATGCTCTGAGAAGAAGATCCTGCCTTAAAAAGAAAATTACATCAGCTGCTGTATTTGCAGACATCTGCAAAGCCACAGAGTCAAAGATTTATGTTAACATGTATTGGCTACAAAGCACAAGTTATTTCTAAAACCAATCTTGACACATTTCTGTAGCTCTTGTGGAGAGTGATTATGGCTAGAAAGTACCACCAGTAATGAACTGTCCCAGGAGACAGCCAGTGAGGGAGTAGTCTTTTACCGAGTTTT